ATTTAAACAATGCTCTCCAGCTGCTCACAGCTTCAGCCACCCTTCAGTGAGCCCTCCCACCCCCAGGTTCTTGGCACAGACTGTGCTCCACGCCTGGACACCCTCCTCCCATCCCTACCCTCTCCTAGCACCCTGCAGCTTAGTCCTGCCTCTCTCGCCTCTAAATCTTAGCTCAGGTGTCACCTCACTGCTAACTCGGCCCCGATGCCACCGCCACCCCATCCCATGTGCTCAGAACAGTCTCTTCTGCACAGCACTGCCCTCACTGTGGGTGTAGGTTCATTACATAATAACCTGTTAATGCCTGGTGAACACCCTGCAGTCAGGGAGTTCTCACAGTATCCCTAGTATTTATCACTGGGTCTGGCATTTAGCAAGTGGAACTGGAAGCGGGGGAAGTTGAGGTTGGGGGCAAAGGGAAAGATCTGACTCATCCTCACCGCTGTCCGACCCCAAACCAAGAGTAAATACCCCACGAGAAACTGATGACTCTAGTGCCTCTTAATGCCTCATTTTCTCTGGGACTCTGTGCTCCCAGCTTCCCCAGGTAATATGATCTTTGAAATGGTCTTTATATAATTTGTAAAGTCAGTGTGTGAGGCCCCTAGGCTCGCTATGGGATGTTTGTGTTATTGTACCAATGGGAGAGGTACCAAATAGTATTCATCACGCAACTGTCTGCTCCTTTAAAATCTACACCAGTAACCTCCCAGGGGTAGAGGGACAGTCATTTTCTCCGGCAGATAGTACAATTGGTAGGAGCATATACCCAAATACACCCACTTAGTAACCAAAGTGGCTTTATTTCAAGCTGGCTGTGAAGGTTTCTTAATAGAAACTCCAATCAGTTCTCCTATGCTAAATGTAAACATTGCAGTAGATTTTTCTCATCAAACAATACTTTTAATGCTACTGAAATATATCATACCCATGATATGGTATGATTTCAGGAGCACCATGAGTTTAATATTCGGATGGAAATGTGGTTTCAGGAGTGCTTTAAGAGTACTCCACACCTCTCCTTCAGCGTTACCCGGCTCGACACAGTGTAACATCCCTTCCTAATGAGCTTATAGAGAGAGATTGGCTTCAAGTCATGTACACATGTCATAAAGGTCCTTGTTGCCGTATTTAGAAGACTACATCCAACGTAAATTCCACTCCCAAATCTCTTTCTCGTAATGAACCTCCATCGACATAATGAGTTCCTTGGAAGGAAGGCATTGTGTAAATTAAAAATACTAATGAGTCATAATGATGATGAGTTATTTTCCTTATTACCGGGAGCAGAACTCAGCTTGGGCACATTATCCTGTGGCTGAAGGTGTCTTCCCTACACCCAGACCTGCCCTCCCTCAGGAGCCCAGACTAAAATAGGTTCTCTTTTTTTTTTTTCTCTCCTCATCAAAGCTCTGAATCCCCCAGATGTCCCTGATCTTAGCTAGTCAGTCTCGGGGGAATGGAAGTTACTAAACTGGTTCATACTAAGGTAGGAATGACCCGAGGGCACCCATAGCTGTTTCCAGCAGCGCGCTGCTTGCACCTTTCCAAGGATATTCCTATTAGCTGGTGAGCACAGGTGAACTTGTGGATTTTCTAGCTAAGGCCAAGCCCAGTGTCTTAGGGATTGTCTGGTTACAAGGAACAGGAACCCACTCAAGCCGACTAAACAAAACTGATTTACTGGGGGGGGGAGGCAAGGGCAACCTTCACAGAACTTAGTGGCAGAGGCACAGCTGGGCTTTGGGAGCGTCAGGGACAGGACAGGAGAGCGTGAGGAACTGGGGTGAACTTTTCCTGTTTCTCTGGGACCCTTGTCCACAGACTCTATCCCAGCCCTCCTGTCTCTGCAGGATGCTTTTCCGTGCACATGGGCCAAATATGGTGGCCGCTGAGTCAAGGGTCCCGTGCCCATGCTCTTGCGGGGAGGGTTCGACTGGCACAGCTTGGCTCAGGTGTCACCCCTAACTCAGTCTCCTCTGCCCATGGGGTCGAGGTTGCGTGGCTCAAACACAGTGCCTGGCCCCGGGTCGTGACTCGGTTACGTGTTGTTACAGGATGCAGGGCCCAGCCCTAAGGGGAGGGGATGGGGCACATCTCCAGAAGTCTACCACACCAGGTCGAGGAGTTTTCTGCTGAATTTGGTTGGGCGCCTGGAGTGTTGAAGGGCTTTGAGGCAGGAGAATGGCATTGGCGCCCGTGTTAACAGCAGGCCCGTGGTAGGATCTGTGTGCTGGGCAAGGAGCTCCTGGTGCCTTGTTCATCCTAAAGGAGCAGTGACTTGCAGACAACGGGATTCATTCCTACTCCCTTGGCACCGGAGTCGGTTGGGACCCTGTGGTTGAATGACTCAAGAAAAGGGATGTTTTCCATTCTGCGTGGACTTGCTGGGAACTTGGAAAAGTCACAGAACCTCTCTGGGATTCTCTTAATTCCAATTCTTTTAATTAAAATAATAATAATAATAATAGTATATAAATATACACATACATACTACTTATATATTTTTATGTTATTAATTTAGCAGATTCTTTTAAAAGATCTTATTGGCTTTATTCAGAGATTCCTAAATTGGGGAACGTCAATCTAGCAATAGATAGGAGCCTCAAAGAACTGTACAAGGCAAGAAGTTTTATAGGCAGAACGGAGCAGGAACAAGGAGGTTATACTGGGCATGTAGCAGATCCTTCTTGTGTTTCTCTTTTCTGGCCTGAAAAGATGCTGAGGGTACACAGGAAAGGCCTCAGAAAGCTGGCTAGGAGGCTGGAGGATCATAAATCGCTCGTGGCTGGAAAGAGAGAGGCTTCATCTCCTTCTCAGGGAGGAGATACGCTTGCTGTGTGTGAAGAGTGACATGTGTGCTTTGAAATGATACAGCTGGGGGCCTAGGGGGCCAAAAGCGTGTAGGAGCACACGATGGCTCAGATCTGCTGGGGCCGGGGGCACCCAGGGAGCAGGATGCAAGAGGCCCGTTTTATGGATTTGGAAGGCGGGAGGTTTTTTTTTTTTTTTTTAATGACAGAAAGGGCCCTGAAGGCCTGCTGCTAAAAACTGCAGTTTCTCCAGGAGTTTTAAAAAAGTCACCTACCACCTGGCTGTGCCCTACAGGTGAGCGTATTTGGTAGGGATGAATGGCCCAGCTAGTCTTCCTGCCCGTGACTCTGTTAGCATCTAAATTGATACCGGTAGGGTATATTCTCACAGGGGATGAAGCAGAAAACAAAATACACCACCTGGTCTCCTGGGTCGGGGGAGAGGCGCAGAGGGGCTACCCCAGCTCTTATCCGTCTCGTCTCGGAGGAGCGCCCGGCCAGTGGGGTGAGCGAGTCCGGCCGTCGGCCCATCCCGGGCCTCTGGGAGGGAAGCGGTGGAGCCTCTGGAGGAGGGGTGCAGGCCTGTGGTGTGGAACCTGCTCCCAGCTTTCAGTTCCTTTCCGCCAAGGACTCGTTTATGACAATCCGTCACGGCAGGCTGATGGGGCTGATAGCTTTTGGCAGAAGTCCTTTCTGCTTCTCGCAAATTAAATCACAGAGAAAGTCACCAGCAGTGAGTGCAAAGAAAGTGTTCAAGGCCACTGCACGGAGGCCAACAGCTGTCAGAGACCCAGTGTTTGCCAGAATTTAAAAATCCATGAATACTAACGAGGCTGGCACCTTCAACGACAGGTTGGGGTGCAGACACCAAGAATGCTGTGTGGCGTGAAGGGCACAACTCAGAATTGCTAATAATAATAATAGGAATAATAATAATAATGAAATAAAATGGCAACAACCAATGTGCACAGAGAGCTTTCCAGTCTACGTGCACATTTTCGTTTCACCACAAAACCCTGTGATCCTAGGAGGTGGGCTGTCCAGCTATGGTCTCCCTTTCACAAGTAAAGAAACCAAGGCTGAAATGCTTTGTCGACCTGCCCATGGTCACACCGCTGGTAGGTGCCAGCCAGGACTCAAATCCAGGCTCCCGGCTCCCCCCAGCGCCCTTTCTGTGACACCAGGCTGCTCCGGTGAGCCTGGGTGCAGGGCCGGGCTCAAGGTGGTGGGCAGAGCTGGGCAGGCAGAAACTGACGAGTGGCCCAAAAAGAGCCCAGGGCTTTCATTTCAATTCCCTGACTCCCAACCCGTTAACACAAGGTAATATATATTCATTGTTTGGGGAAAAAACAAACAAACAGATAAGCATAAGAACATAGAAATAATAATTGCCCACTCAGAGAGAAGCATTTTGAACATTTTAGTGCACCACAATATCATCCTTGCAGATACGTTTTCTTCATTTTGACACATCTTTCCTCACAAAAACGGAATCTGTTCCTCCTGCCGTTTTGTAAACGTCTCGTTCCATGTACTGTAAATATCTCTCCACGTCAGATACACTTCAACAATATTTTTCTCATTTCATTACAAATGTTAGACATATAGTTTTTATGATTGCAGAAATAACCATAAGGTTATATGCTCATTGTAGAAATATTCAAATTCAAACCGTACAGAAATGCCCAGCAAAGGAAGCAAACGCTTTACTTAATCCCACCCTTGGGGCCTAAGCAGTGTTGCTACATTTCACATTTCCTGTTCGTGTTTTTCCGTGCACACTCTAGACATAATGAACATATGTGTCTATATACATTTTTTTTCTCTGCCAAGTGGGATCACAGACTGTTGTGCAGTTTGCTTTTTTCCTTCCTCCGGTGTGGACATTTTATTGTCTCAGTCCCTGAGGTTCTAAGGCATCTTTGTTCCAATCCTGGGGAAAGGAAACCCCATGAGGCTGGAGAAGGGACAGGATAGTGGGTAGTAGCAACACAGGGCTGGTTCCAGCTATCGGACTAGAAACCCTCCGAGAGGAGGGGACCGCAGCTCAGGCAGCCCCTTGCCGCTCACCCGGAGGATGCAGGTAAACGGTGCCACCTCACCACCACCCCGTGGCCACCTGAGAGGAGGGGTCCCGTGGCACCAGATGGCCCCATGCCCCCTCATGAATGCTCTGTGCCTCCCCAGGTGTGTATGTTCTCACGACTGCCCTAATCCCCGTCTTGGAGAAAGAACATGACCCCAGAGTGGTGAGTTGACTTTGGGGATGTTTTGTAAGTAAATGACTTTGCTCCTGATGGGAAATCAGTGGTCCTACGTTTGTTGCCCCAACTGTCCCGAGGGGGCCATGCTGTCCACGTCCATAGGGGAGCCAAATTCTGTCCCCGGATCCATTAGCCTTCTGTTTGATAATCTGAGATCCAGCAGCGGTGTGCCAGCCCAGACGGCATCCAGGTGGGTCTAGCGAGGGGCCAGTGAAGCGGGGAGGGATCCAGGTCAAGGTGAGGGCCAGCCTGCGGCTTTGTCCTCAGGACACACATCCTTGAGGGGCTTGTAGGCGTGGCCTGGGATTCCAGAATGCTTGTTCTGGCAGTCGAGACTTCCTGGGAGCCGGCTGTCGATCCTGCCCGCCCCCTGCCCTGCTCTCAGGGGCCCTCCACCCCCCCCCTGCTCCTGCCTCTTGCCGCGGCTGGGTGGCTGCTGCCCATACACAACCAACGAGTCCCCTGCCAAAAGGGAGGCAGAGCTGTGCAAAGCCCCAGCCCTCACTGTAGGCTCTCCCCCAGTGTCATCTGGGAGTTGGCAAAGCCTTCAGAAAGGGGGGCTTCTGAAGAGCAGGGGCAGCCGGGGAAGGCAGTCAGCAGTGGGTGGGTGGGTGCACTTCCTGGAGAAGCTGCCGCTCAAAGGGGAGGGGTTACAGTGATCAAAATCAGAGAAGTCGGGAGGAAGGCAGTTAATGCAGGCTGCATTCTCTCTGCTGTGAGGGCCAGAAAAATGACCTCCCCTGATCCGAGAGGTCCAGGTCCTAGTTCCTGGCACCTGTGAATGTCACCTTGACGTGGCCAAGGGGACTCTGCAGGTGTGATTAAGTTAAGGGTATTGAGATGGGGAGGGTATCGTGGATTACCCAGCTGGGCCAGTGTAGTCACAGGGGTCCTAAGAAGAGGGCCAGAGTCAGAGGAGACTTGACAGTGGAAGTAGAGGCGGTCGGCATGCTGCAGCCACCAACCAAGGCATGCGAGTGGCCTCTAGAAGCCGGAGAAGGGAAGGAACGGATCCCCCCCTAAAACTGCCAGAAGGAATGCAGCTCTGCTGACACCTTGATTTTAGCCCCATAAGACCCATTTCAGACTTCTGACTTCCAGAGCTTCCAGTGGGGGAATTCATCTGCGACTTTATAAGCCACTAAGTTTGTGGTCATTTGTTGCAGTAGCAACAAGAAACCAATACGCTGCTTGACAGAGAAGAGGAATGGGAGGGTATTATGAAGTTTTCTGTACATATCTCTCCATTATATTTATTGCAGATAACAGTCTCCTCCGGAGGAATGTTGGTTCAGAAACTGAATGCCGATGACCTACAGTCAGAAAGGGCAGCATTCGATGGCACCATGGTCTATGCACAAAACAAAGTGAGTGAGGGGAGTTTCTCAAGGCTGCCACCTGGCTGCTTTTCCAAGGAAGGCTAATTCTGGGATTCACGGTAATTTGGATCTTAGTAATTCCCAGCAGCAGCTGAATGTTCCCCAGTGGAGAGAGAACCCTCTTCTCAATCAGGAGCCCGGCCCAGCCCAGCTCTGCCTGGACCAGGGTGGGGCTGGGGGGCTTCAGCTCGCCCCTAGGAAGAGCCACAAAGGCCGCCACCTCTCTTCCCTGGTTTCCTAGACCCACAAAGAGCATGGTGAGAGCCGGTGGCCGCCACAGCAGGAGCCCAGCAGGGGTTCCTCGCCCGGCTCGGCTCAGAGGGAATATGGACCCAGGAAGTCACTCCTCTCTCCCTGGGCAGCCCCTGCTCACTGGCTGGACATATGCCCCTGGAACAACGCTGGGTTTCCGGGCTCCCTTTGAAGGGCATGTGCATCCAATTCCGAAAGGAAAGGGCAGGGGTCCAGATCTCATGCCCGATCTTAACAGAAAGTGTAGTCACGCCGCCATACAGCAGCTCATCACAGCTGTTTTTAGAAGCCGGCTATATACCTTCCACATTTATGGTTCTGGCCCCTCAGTTCATTACTTGGGTGGGCTCCCTCGTCGTTTATGAAGCTGCCAGTGCCCACCAGCTGTCCCTCCTGTTGGTGTGGTCTGCCTCTGTCCGACCCGCCCCCCCTGCGCCCTGGCTCTGCCCCGCTTTCCCTCACCGAGCCCCAGGCCAGCTCCTGGTGGATTACTTCTCATGACTCAATCCTGACAATTGAAGGAACCATAATTCTTGACAGTTTTTCCAGGGAACATGGGAACAAACCACTCACACCGTAAATGAGGCCCAGATGGAGCTCTTTGCAAAACGTAATCAAAGTGCCCTGGGATTGGGCAGTAGTCTCCCTGCAGCTGAGGCTCAAGTGGTGGGGGGGGTACTTGATTTTTTAGGGAATTTGCAACAGCTGTGTTCTCTAAGCATCCCCAGTACGCGTCCTACACTCCAAGGCAGGAGTTCCTTCACATGTCCACGGACACCCTCTCAGTGCCGGCGGCCAGGGGACACAGTGAGCGGGGCCCAGCAACGAACACCGCAACACAAGCAACTAGGAAAGAGGACTCTCTGGGTGTCATTTCCGGGGGGGAGGGGCGGGGGAAGCCCCCGGGCAGCGTGCGGCGTTGGCGTTCCCTCATTTCCGGTGCTGGTCTGTTTGCATCTCAAACGGAGGGGCCGGGACGCAGGCCTGGGTGGTAGCCAGAGCTTGTGGGGTAGAGAGACATTCTAGAGCAAGGTGAAATCTCACATTGGGGGGCGGGCGAGGCAGGGTAGGGGCCCCCTTGCCCCCTCCTCCCGTTTGTTCATCCTCGCCCCCCACCCACCCCGTGCAGAGGCAGCAGGTGGTCCTGACGGAGCGGTGGGCCCGAGCGCACCCGGCCGTCCACTTCTCGTGCATGCATCCCGGCTGGGTCGACACCCCAGGTAGGTCTTTCATTTCCACGGCGCCTGTGTTTCATCTAAAGGTAGATAATCTTGGGCGGCCGCGGGACTGACTCTGCCCCGGACTGGCCTAAAACCAGTATCAGGAGGACTAGGAATGGCTTCGTTTCCACTGAGAGGGGCAGGCCGGTCCTCACAGGCGGAGCTGCTGTTAATCCGCCCCCGCGCGTGGCGGAGAGAGGGGGCGGCCCTGGGGTGGGGTGCGGCTGGGGGCCCCTCCCTCGGGACGGGCGGAGCCAGTGCACCCTGAGTGTCGGAGAGGAGTGAACCGAACCGAGGGGGGCGAGGGGGACCGAGGGAAGTCAACGGGAGACACTGGGAACGTGGGGCTGGGCTAGGCCAGGCCACCTCGCCGCCGCCCGGGTTCCTAGAAGTAGTGATGCACACAGGTCAGTAACAATCACGAAGAAGACAAGTGGAATTTTCTGGAAGCGCGTTGGAGCAGCAGGGAGGGAGAGCAGAGCTCTCCTCGGGATCTGTCCCTCCCAACTCCGTGGCCTCGGGTAAATCACGTGGGCTCTGTAGCTCTTTCCTCCTCCCCCGAAAAGGGCACCGAAAACAGCAGCACAGCAGCACCCCCAGGACACTTGAGAGCCCAGAGCTGCTCACAGCCATGTCTGGAAACTGACCCGTGTGTCCTCACAGCCCCGCTGCGGTGGGCACTAGCATCATGCCCATTTCCAGATGGGGAAACTGAGGCATAGGGGGGCCAGGATGGCCCGGCTGGGCCCGGCCACAGTGTCGTGGGAAGCAGGCTCTCTCGTATACGTGCTGTCGTCCTTTCTGAAAGCCGGTTGAGCAGAAGCCTTAACATTTGTATATACATCCTTGGAATTCATCCTAAGAAATAATGAGAGATGTGGAAAATGAGGTTGCTCATCACAGTACTCGTGCTAGGAGAGTGAGTTCATAAGTTATGGAGCACCTGTACAAGAAATCTGTTCAGCCCTGAAAACTGCTGGGGAGAAATGTCTATGGGCAAGGAAAACTGCGCTATACCATTAAATGAAGGTATCAGTCACCCAGACTGTACGTGCCTTAGGGGTTTATTTTTGCTACACCCATATCCCCATGGAAGAAGGCGTATGTTGGTGCCACGCAGCATCCCGTGGAGACCTGGCGGAGAGAGCTGGTGCAGACCAGCCCTCTGGGGCACGGATCTGAGGACGTCTGGCAGCCTCCTGTTTTAAACGCAGAGGGGGTGTCCTCAGCCAAGCACACCGGGAGGGACTCAGGCCAGGGGTGTTGCGAGAGGGTGGCTGCTGCTTGTCGCTTCCGGATGGGAGACATGCCTAGCCCTGCCTGACCAGGTAGCTCCATCAGGCCGTGCGAGGGCAGCCAGCCTGTCATCCTCCCAAGGACATCACCCCAGCAGTCCTCATGTCAACCTGTGTGCTTGCAAAATCTGTGCTCCAAGCCCACCCCCTGGATCCACCATCTGGGTCAAGGTGCAGTTTGCCCTCTATTGTCCACAGGTCACAGGGCAACGACTGGGCCTCTCGGGTGCAGATGGCCTGTCTCGGGACACAGAAGCCCGAGGGAGGGCTGGGCGGGGCCCTGAGCCCGGGGACACTTGTCCTCCCCGAGTGCTGTGACAGAAGGATTCAAATTCCTTCTCTTTGCTCATCAGTATTTCCTAATTTTTCCACAATTAGCAAGTACTGTTTCTGTGAAAGGAAAAAAAAAATTGTTTTTAATATAAAAAATGAGGGCCTTAGATTAGATGATGCTTTCTCTCTCTGAAATCCTCTGATCTCATTACGGCTTTCAGACCTTGTTTTCTCTGCCTTTTCTTTCCTTGGCTTCATGAGAGAACAGTTTTGTTTCTCAGTGTGCTCACTGTTGGGACAGTGTGTTCCCCGAGGTCTGTGGGCAGGGGGGGGCTGGGCCTCCCGTGGTGAGGACGGGGGCCCTGGGGAGGCGACACCAGGAGGGGAACCTCTGTGTAGCCGGGTGTGGGGGGCCGGGGGAGGACGAGTTAGAGGAGCTTTGGCAGAGGAAGGACGAAGCCCCTCCCCTTCTTACTACACTCCTCCCTAAAAAGCAGGGAACACTAGTGCAGCCCGAGGAACCATCAGCCAGGATGCTCGGAGAGGTCAGAATGCTTGGCGAGAGATGGTTCACCCAGGAAGCGGGAGTCTGATCCCCTCTCGGCCTCAGTGTGACCCTCCTTTCTTAGGATAGAAAGTGGGGAGGTGCCGGAGATTTTGCTTCCAGGGGACGGGGCTGGTCTGGGCGCCCGGGGCCCAGGGGACACGGGACCACTCGGGGCTCTGGTGAGCAGCACTTCCCTCCCAGGCCACAGGGTGACACCTCAGGGGCTTTGTGACAAGGCTGTGTGAAACCTGAACAGCCTGGAGGAATGCTGTGTCGAAGTGGAAAGGGGGCAGTCTGTGGTCCTTTTCCATTTCATCGTCGTTGTCATTGGAAGAAGCCAAGCGCGGGCAGCGTCCTGGCTTGAGGATACTGTCCTCACCACCCTGTCCGCGCCTCCCCTGCCCCTGCAGGCGTGCGGTCGTCGATGCCCGGGTTCCATGCCAGGCTGGGGGCCAGGCTGCGCTCTGAGGCCCAGGGCGCGGACACCGTGCTGTGGCTGGCCCTCGCCCCGACTGCCGCCGTGCGGCCCAGCGGCCGCTTCTTCCAAGGTGACTTCCTCCCTGGGTGTGAAGGCGCCCCCGACCCTCCTCTCTGTGCAGCTCGGGTTCCCCTTCCCCGTGATTGTGCCCGGCCTGCCTTGGCAGGGCGGCTCCTTCGCCTGTCGGGGCGCTTTGTGAAGGGCCTCACTTCTAACTTCGCACCACCCGCTTTTTCCATCCACCTTTCTGAACTCAGTGGGTCCCCTGAGGATGAAATCCTCGGGTTGTCATCCTTGTTCTGAGTCTTGGGCGAGGCCGGGCCCTGTGGGCACCGTGGAGATGAAAGCTCCCTCTCCGAAGGCCCGGGGATGGGAGCTGTCCAAGCAGCAGTGCAAAGGGAATGAGTCTCTTCTTTCTGCTTCCGGGGGCAGTTATCTGTTGAGGGTTTGCTCCCAACCTGGGCAGCATCCCGACGGGCAGTCTGAGAGGAGGCATGCTGAGGGCGGATGCTGGAGGCCAGGGCCTTCCGCCTCTTTCCCCACCAGGGATGTGGCCGCCTTTGCCTGAGCCATGATGGAGCTCTGGTGACCCTGTGGCGACTGGGGGCCTGGCCGTACCTTCTCCTCCGGCCACCACCTGCCAGTTCTCAAAACACTCCACACTCCCCAAGCCCAAACCCCAACCCCACCCCCACCAGCACCCAGGCCTGAGGACCCTCCCCCCAGCCCGGTGGAGTCCCTCAAAACCCAGCCCGACACCTGTCCTCCCCAACTCGGTCTCCCTTCTGTAGCACCTCATCGTCTGTGGGGACCCTTGAAGGCAGGTGTGGCATCTAACTCCGTCTCGTGTGGGCCCCTCCCCGGCAGATGTCCGTGACATGACTGACCCGGGGCCCAAGTGGCGGGCAGAGGCTCACCCACGCTGCCTCGCTGCTCACACCTTTGTTCTTCCCTCTCACTTTTAGACCGGAAACCAGTGCCCACACATTTGCCTTTTGCTAGGACATCGTCCTCACCGGCTGAAGAGGAGAAACTAATTGAAATCCTGGAAGAGCTAGCTCAGAGATTTAAATAGGCCAGGCCAGACCCAACGCGGGGCTGGAACCGCCTCCGAAAATATGGGAAGGTGTGGCCCAGGGGTAGACCAGTACACAGACCCCACGTCTAGACGTCCCCGTAGATTGGCCCATATTCCACTGCTGGGGTCTGAGCTGGCTTCCTCTCCTTCTGCAGTCATAGAAATCAGTCCCGTTCTTTATACAAAGCCTAGTATTGAAGCCGTGACCCACCATCTCCTCACTGTGGGACCACAGGTGGGTTACTTACCCTCTGGGGGCCTCATTTTCCCTGTCAGTGGAGACTGTAGTGCTACCTACCTCAAGGGGTGGTTTTAACGATTCAGTGAACTACTAGTAATGCACTTAGAAGAACGCTTGGTGCATCGTAAAGACTTGATATATGTTTGTTAGCTATTAACATCAGCATTTAGCTGACAAGTGTGCTAAAACTCACGGGGGAAAAAAAAAAATCCCCCTAAAGGTTACCCCCTGTAGCAATGAGGAGCCACACAGAATGGGAGCTTTTATTTTAAAGTAAATACGACTGGGGCCGGGAACGGGGGAATCTGCCTGTTCCGCAGTATCCTTTTCCCGTGTAAATTTCTCCTTTGAGGATGTGGTTTTTTTTCTGAAGATGCCATGGCCTGGTTTATTTACATTTGTTACGATTAGAAGTGGCATGGACATACACACACTACCAAAGTAAAGTAGCTAGCTAGTGGGAAGCAGCAGCACTGCACTGGGAGATCAGCTCCTGCTTTGTGACCACCTAGAGGGGTGGGATAGGGAGGGTGGGGAGGGAGACGCAAGAGGGAGGGGATATGGGGATATATGTATATGTGTAACTGATTCACTTTGTTATAAAGCAGAAACTAACACACCATTGTAAAGCAATTGTACTCCAATAAAGGTGTTAAAAAAAAAATGGCTTGAATTAGGCACCTGGCATTCCGGTGCTACTGTTTGGTAAAACTTCTAAGCTATTTGCATTTTATGTCTTAGTGACGCTGGGGAAAGTTGTAACAAAATCGGTGAACAGATTTAGGATAGCTCCATACACGTTCTGGATGTTCACCGGCGAAGTAAACGTAATGCATCGCCCACGGAGGAGGACCCAGCTGGGCACCGCTCAACCAGTCCCGCGGTGCGGGGCCTTCAGAGGTGCCTGAGGTGCTCAGGTCCAGGCTGTCAGCCGAGGATCCCCTAGGAAGGGGCTTTCTGGTGAGTCCGCCTGGAAGATCAGTGAGCAGCGGCCCCCCGGGGTATGAATCTCTCCTTTCCTGAAGGAGGACACTGGGGGCTGCCGCGGTGCTGGGTGTGGGCGGGGCCGGGCGGGCACGGGCAGGCTGGATGGAGGAGGGGCAACCCGGCCGCCCCTCCCACCGGCCCTTTGACAGCGTGCAAGTCATCGACTTCTTCCCACTTCTTATCTGTAAAATGGGCCTCATGAGTTTTTACGAAGGCTTTTCCTGGCTGTATTTTTCCTGAGGAGTCCTCTCTCCTTCATTTGGAAAGTTTATCAGCCACAGGTAAAGCAGCCTTGTGTGAAAGGAAGATAAGAAAATAAAAAGGTCTGCTCGGCCAGCCATGGTGAACGCCAACGCAGGGCTGCTGGAGTGCGTGTGTGTCACGTGGCACAGCTCGACAACAATGACAGGACCACAGGTGCAGGAAGGTTTCCACAGAGATTTATTTTAAACCGTGGCGGTAGCTTGCATTGAGTCTTTGACATTGGTCATGGCTACACATTCATTTCGGTTAGCGGGAAGCACAGTGGGAAAGTGAGCAGAGTTCAGAAACGTTCACGACATTCAGCAGCATTTGAATGGAGAACTGGATACAGACATTTAACATCGTGGGAAATCCCTGCTTATTCCCACCTAATCACATTCAGGAAGTCAATGTCAAGACTGGTTGGTCTGGTTGGGGGAATCTAGTGGCAGAGGGCGTGGCAATGCCAGCAGGGTTTGGCTAGAACCACATTTGAGAAATCTCTTCCAGCTTTGGGCTTATTACATTTTCAGCCTGACCCCTTGGAGAATCTCATTTCAAAAAGAAAGAAAAAGACAGCCATAAAGCAACACGCCCGCTGCAGCCAGGTTCCGACGTGGCTGTAGACTGGTGGGCGTGCAGGGTGGAAGCGTCCGTGTCCCCTGTTGTGGAGACAGTGGCAGGCAGGCACGAATGTGGGGCTAGCACCTTCCCGGTTGTCCAGTTAGTAACAGTTTTTGGACTTTTCATATAAAGATTTTCTTCTGCAAAATGACAGTACATTTGAAAAAAAAAGCAGATGGCGTAAAACACAAATATGTAAGTATACAGTGGTTACCAGCGACACAAGTATTTTGGTCCATACTTCATATGCTACTAACATAAGGCAGCCATCCATTTAAATGAAAGAAAAAGTGTGTATAAGTGAAATACTTTTTTCAAACCATTTCTCCTTTTTGTGTTACAGTTTACCCTCTCATGCTTCCCAGAGAACCAAGGGGGATAAAAAGGAGAAAGGATCCTAAATATCAAAGTCACATTCTAAAACTAACCTTTAAGCCGACCTGCAATTCCCCTTCTCTCCCAAGAAAGTCAGATACACTTTTGTACACTCACGAAGGTGAACATTTTGAGGTATTTGTTTTTAATGAGATGGTACTATGATTGACTTGCACCTTCACCATCTTTTTCAAACCTCCTGGGCTCTGGACGGGAAAATACAGGAAGCAGTTCACTTGATGTGACACAAAACAAAGGCAGTGGGATATGCTCCCGTTTACCTGAGTGAAGTCAGCCACGTGCAGGCGGGTCACTGGTAATGGTTAGGTCAGTTTAGTAGTAACAGTCATGGAATCATAGGATCACGGATTGGAAGGGATCTTAAGAACAATCATTGAATTCAACTTCTACTCAAGGCTTTTAATCTCCTTTCCACATCTATTCCACTATAAACAGACAAGGGGCTACATACTGTCTGTTCAAAAATTCCCTGGCAGAAGAAACACAAAAGAGGAATCCCATTCCAGTGTTGGACAGATCTAATTTTACACCCTGCTTTCTTGTGTTTGGCCTAAACAGGCTTCTTGGTGGAAAGGATAATGTTTGTTTAAAGGCAAAATTACAAACTAAAAACATGGATGTCCCTGAATTAAGTTATGGACACATGATACTTGGGCACTGAAGGATAAAGGCAAGTGGATGGAATACAAGTGTCAGTACTAGGAAGTACCGAGGCCCGCGGTGGGACGTCGGGATGCCCCTGCTCGGTAGAGTCGGGTCTCCAGGGCGGTGGCTGCCTGAGCTCTTTTACTGTCGCCGAATTGAGAAAAACATTCCCTTCCGCGTGGCGAGTGCCACTGCGATGAGGATTTATCACATTTACCACATTGTACTGAAATGACCATTACTTGCAAGAACGATTCAAAGCCAGAGGGAAATGAGGGCAGCAGTGGCCTGCTTGCTCACGGGAAGGCCGTGTGGGCGCAGTGCCACCGCTGTCCAGAACAACCTCCTCCACAGGTCAAGGCCTGTCCTTTTTCAAAGGAGAGCTCCTAACCTGGGCCCCCGGGGAATAGCGGAATCAGTATGCCGTAGGCTCATCCAGGCCAAGTCTGTGCAAGCAGTGGTCCCCAGCCCCACCTCACAGCCTCCAGTGAGGGGCTGTGCCCCCAACAAAGTTCAAAAATTAGTCACCGGGGTCATTTTAGGATAATAACTCCAGGTATTTCCAAAGAAAAAGAAACTTTGATACCAGCCTCAGCAGCAGGGAAACTTGACTCTCTGGGTAGAGGTGCGTGGCGAACCGCGTGCTGCCTCTCTCTGTGGCCACGAGCATCTGTGTCTCACGGTGACAAGAGCTCAGGCTCCAGGACTGCAGCTGTGCACTTGATGTTCTCTGGCAGCTCCAAACAGCCTGTGGGCCCCGAGCACCAGGCTGATGCAGGTCCTGGGCCTTTGTTTACACTGCTCCCACAGCCTGGGCTCACAACAACTCATCCCTTAACTCTCAGCTCAGAAGCCCTTTCCTCTGCAAGGTCCCCGGGCTCCACCCGTGCGGGTAGGAGCACCTGCGCAGCTCCTGGAATAGGACCCCACAGCCCTGTCACTGGATTTACCACGAGGCACTGAAATGATCCATCTAGGCCACAGGACGGACCTCGTGACCCTGGGCCTGGTTCAAAGCCTGGAGTGTGGTGGACACTCGACAAAGGGTTGGACTGGTCGAGAATTGGAGTCTCAAGGGTCATCTAGATCCCTCAGTGCTCAAGATGGACTTAATCTCTGTTTCCCAATCATGTCGCTAGATAGGCACTTGCACATCCAGAAAAACATAACTTTGTTTCAAAGGAGAGGAAAAAACGAATGTTTTTGGCAAAATGCTTTCCTTCACTTTAAAATATAAATCTTAGTGGACAAGGTCACTTACATACAATTAAACTACTATGAAAAGGCCAAACCAAAGGAATGTCATTTAATGGATATTTATGTCCAGTAACTTTGATAACATAGTTTAGATCTAGTCCCTTGCTTAAAAGGCAAAATTCAGGCGTTAAAAACTGATTAATGTTAAGAAAAAAATAAACTCTGTTTTTGAGAAAATGAATCTTAAAACAGGAAAAGAAAGGCAATGTTCCATAAGAAGGTCAATGAAGAGACTGGCTCAGGGCCAACCCACACACGGAGGGTGAGGTGCGCTTTCAGTGCCCCTGGATTTCCACTTAAACTTTGCAGCTGGGGTGGTCTGTGGGGAAGAGG